GTTTTACATATAATGGTTAATGATGTAATAATTGATCATTTTGTCTGCTTATAACTTCATACAAGTGACTAAATAACGTATGTTATGTAGGGTTTACATATAATGGTTAATGATGTAATAATTGATCATTTTGTCTGCTTATAACTTCATACAAGTGACTAAATAACGTATGTTATGTAGGTTTTACATATAATGGTTAATGATGTAATAATTGATCATTTTGTCTGCTTATAACTTCATACAAGTGACTAAATAACATATGTTATGTAGGTTTTACATATGATGGTTAATGATGTAATAATTGATCATTTTGTCTGCTTATGTAAAGAATATTTATAGCTCTAACATTATATAGCATTTATTGGACATGTTACTGTCTTAACTATATGCATCAGTTTGTTTTTTTATATGTATTTGAAACTGCTTTTATGATCTCTTTTTTCCATTAATATTCACTATTATACATGTGAATAACACATGAGTTAGTCAATTTAGTTTAGAAGTATATTCCATTAGCTCTTTAATTGCTACAAAATAATACAATATTTTGATAGTCACAGAAATATATATTATTATGTACATTTATGTTTGAAATTGTAATAGCATCTAATTGCATAATTCAATCATTTCCCAAGTTGTTAAATCATTGCTTAAGCAAATATGATAATAACGGTTGTCGGTAAGTTTTAAAACTGTTTATCTTTATATATGAACATAAGCAGACATTCCATTCAAACTGTTTTTAGTAAATTTAATTGCACTGTTTAACCTTTATTGCTGCTTCAAAAGTTATATATTTTTACCAATTTGTTTCATATGCTTCACTGGTTTATTCATTATTCTGATGAATACTTTATCATACAAGTGTTAATTTTTTGTGCTTTGTGCATCATTCCTCATTTGGCTTTATTACTTTGCACAGGGAGATAAAATATCATTTTAAAAGTTTCACCGTATACGACATAATCTTGAAAATATTTTGGCAAACAATGAATATTTTTGTAGATAAAGATTTTTGTTTTGCTCAAACACACACACTAAAAAAAGAAATAAATAAATTAGATATAAATCAACATAACTAATCCATACAACTTTTAAAACTTAGACTAACTTTTTATATGGTATGTAGACCCAGGGATGAATGGTGATCTGTCTAATGACACACAGGACAGTACCACTAGTCATGACTCAGAAGATTTAAATCAAGATGGAGATAGCGACTCTGAAAAGGCACTCAATCTTGTAAGTTGTTGTTTTTTCTGTGCACTCAACCTTGTAAGCTGATTGTAGTAGATCTTTTATGTAGGAATTAAGATGTTGTTAAATTTAAAGCTGATTTTCTGATTGAGAAGAGAGGGATTTATTGCATCAGAATAGCTTATAAAGCTTTTTTTTTGTATATTCAGTCACAATGTATTTGTAAACATCCACTCATAAAATACTTAAACTTCACCAGTAAGAATAATTTAAGCGAATACTTTTTTCACAATAAATACTTAACTGGTTACCCAAAATTACTAAGTTGCGAAAGGGAATTGCTACATTTAATCATGCCTTTACATGAAGTTTTGATTGCACAAGAAAAGAAGATCTTTAAAAGAAACAAGAGAAGAAGTGATATTAAAACTGTACAAGATATATATATTAAGAGTTTTTTTTTTCTAGAATTCTGTTAGACATTTCTAAGTTTCTCTTGAATCTGAATGATATTTATCTGCCTATTTTATTCAGGCTATGGATGATGATGATGAACCTATTGATGCCACAGTCCAAGCCAATAAAAATCAGCGCATGTCCAATGGTCAGACATTCACATCAGCTGGTTCTACCACTCTAACTACCTCTCACCTGTCCACAGAAGTTCCGACTACTACACTCTCTCTCTCTCCAACTTCTGTCGTGACCACCACAACAGCAGCAGCTTTAGCAGCAGCAGCAGCTTCTGGACAGCTTTCCTTAAACCAGGTAATAACTTAATAACAGCCATGAGATTAGATAAGAATCTACCTAGTAGATCAGACAGTTGTCTTTATACCAAGTTTTAATCTGTCCCGTAGATCAGACAGTTGTCTTTATACCAGGTTTTAATCTGTCCAGTAGATCAGACAGTTGTCTTTATACCAGGTTTTAATCTGTCCAGTAGATCAGACAGTTGTCTTTATACCAGGTTTTAATCTGTCCAGTAGATCAGACAGTTGTCTTTATACCAGGTTTTAATCTGTCCAGTAGATCAGACATTTGTCTTTAAACCAGGTTTTAATCTGTCCTGTAGATCAGACATTTGTCTTTAAACCAGGTTTTAATCTGTCCCGTAGATCAGACAGTTGTCTTTAAACCAGGTTTTAATCTGTCCAGTAGATCAGACATTTGTCTTTAAACCAGGTTTTAATCTGTCCAGTTGATCAGACATTTGTCTTTAAACCAGGTTGTAATCTGTCCCGTAGTTCAGACAGTTGTTATTAAACCAGGTTTTAATCTGTCCCGTAGATCAGACAGTTGTCTTTAAACCAGGTTTTAATCTGTCCCGTAGATCAGACAGTTGTCTTTAAACCAGGTTTTAATCTGTCCAGTAGATCAGACATTTGTCTTTAAACCAGGTTGTAATCTGTCCCGTAGTTCAGACATTTGTCTTTAAACCAGGTTGTAATCTGTCCCGTAGTTCAGACAGTTGTCTTTAAACCAGGTTTTAATCTGTCCAGTAGATCAGACATTTGTCTTTAAACCAGGTTTTAATCTATCCAGTTTACCAGACAGTTTTCTTTAGACCAAGTAATAATCAACCTAGTAGATCAGACATTTGTCTTTAAACCGGGTTTTAATCTGTCCAGTAGATCAATAGTTTTTTTAGACCAAGTAATAATCAATCTAGTACGTCAGAAAGTTGTCTTTAATCCATGTTATAATTTATACACTAGAAACCAAAGCTGTTGATACATATAGAAAAAACAGGTGTAATTTCAGAAGTGTGGTACAGATACATCAATGAGATATTTAGTATATAGAATCATGGGAAAGAAACACTACAGCAATTTAACTATTTCCTAAACAACTTCCACCCATCAATTAAGGATACTTACAGAAGGATACTTAATGTTCTTAGACATAACTCTAAAAGTTGAAGAAAGACAAATACAGACTTCTGTGCATAACAAAGAATGTAAGAAGCCAATATTTCTCCAGTACAAATCACACCACCCAGACCAAGTCAAAAGGGGAACAATAATAGGAGAATTAAAGAGAATAAGTTGAAACCATTCCAAGCTGAGTGCCGTTCAAGGAGTACTAAACGACTTTAAAACACTACTATTACAAAGCAGATACCCCCGAATATTACATCGACAATGTTTTCAAATCATAAAAAAATATTACGACAGCAACAGATCAAAAACAAAAAAAAGACGTACACAAAAACACTAACAATGAACATTCCTTTCATAAACAACACAATCACAACCAAGATTCTTAAAGCCATTAAACAATCCCAACAGATAATCAACATAGCACAAAAACATACGAAACTGTAAAAGAATTATTAGTTTTCTCTTCATACTTACAAGTAAAATGTGATAAAAAGCAATGCTAGAGAAAATGGAGCAAGACAAATGTGCCACACCAAAAACTTAAGCTATCAAATCATGTGTAACATATATGTATGTGCATAAACACAAGAAACCTGAATACCTTTTCACAGATGCATCTTAGAACACATCAGTGTATTATGTACGTATGATAAACACAAAACTCTTCTAGCAGAATACTTCCTATACAAACATGGAACCCCAAACACAGGAAATAAAACCCATTTAAAGTTTCTCTCTTACCCAGGATTTTAAAGAGAGAAAATATTTGGAAGCTAAACTCCTTAATGAAAAAAATCCAAAAATGAACAGAGACAATGGATGGTACATGTAACTAAACTGTCCTTTAAACAACACACACATATCAACTAAACTGTCCTTTAAAAAACACATATATCAACTAAACTGTCCTTTAAAAAACACATATATCAACTAAACTGCCCTTTAAAAAACACATATATCAACTAAACTGCCCTTTAAAAAACACACATATCATACCAGTACACTTAACATTATTACTTTTAGTTTAACACTTGCATACTCTGGAGTGTTACACAGTCTTAAAATTTGTTTTTAACACTGCCAGTAAACTATGTATCCTTTTAAATTTAAATATTGTACAGAGTTAATTCAGCAGCTGTTTGAAATCGAGTAATATCTGTACAGTTAGTCCAGCAGCTGTTTTAAACTAAGTAATGTACATATAGTTAGTCTTGCAGTTGTTTTAAACCAAGTAACATCTATACAGTTAGTCCAGCAGCTGTTTTAAAGCAAGTAATATCTATACAGTTAGTCTATGTAATGGTTTACACAGCTATTTCAGCAGCTGTTTTAAATCAGGTAATAATTTACACAGTTAGTCCAGCAGTTAGTTTAAACTGAGTAATAATTTACAATCAGTACCTACCACAGTATCCAGCAGTTAGTTTAAATTGAGTAATAATTTACAATCAGTACCTACCACAGTAGGTAAACATTAAGCAAACTCGTGTTTATGTGTGTGTTCTGTAAATAAAGTTTACTCTGTTCTCTCTGTAATGCTACTTTAATCAACACTACTGGCTAGAATTTTAATATATCTCTTTTTTTTTTTTACTATTTTTCATTCTTATTATTATATTTGTATTTTAGAGATTATGTTGCATTGTTAGATTAGTAAATGGATTTAGAATTAACATAAATCTCCTGAACTGGCTGAACCGTTTGGTATTATGTCTGAAAACATTGCCAATAGTGAGAGCACTCATCTGTTGAAACAATGCACTCTAATCTTTATCAGTCAGAACACACAAATGGTATATTTAATTAGCTATACTCATAAACAGATTCATATTTAGTTTTGATCTAAGTATGTAGATTGCTCTGATCAGAAGTTAATGATAAGTACATTTAAACTTCTTTTTTTTTAATTGTTTTCTCACAGACCAGTTTCTTGAAGCCCTTTGTTAGAGCTGTAATTTTCTTGTTATTTTTGTTATCTAGTTAATGGTTGCTCCTGCACAACAGTCTATGTTAATGCAGGCGGGCTTGGCACAACAGCTTCAGATGGGAAAGGTCAGTTAAATGTCTTTAATATAATACTACCTAATCTATTAACAGTGTATGCTGTATTGTTAACTAGTCTCACTGTTTTCACTATTGTTAATGAAGAAACTAAAATATTTAAAACCCAATTACTCTTTTTTTTTACACTGTTCAGTCTTGTATAGAATGTAAAATTGTCACAGTTGAAAATACACAGTAGTATATTTATTAACAACAAGGAAGTATGAGCTTAATATTTTATCACGATATGAAATCCTGTAAAAACCAAAACTGATGGTAGAGACAAAGGTAAGTTGCCAACAATTTTAATTTGAGAGATAACAAACAAAACTTCAAATTAAACTCTTAAGTACAATGTAAGTTTTATAGTGGTTTTTAAAACTTAACAATAACATTATAAGATGAGAATTAAATTTATATATAATTCTGTAAAAATGTTACACAAAACACACTACCGAGCTTCAGAAATTATCATAAAAAATATATACAAGTTTCTTCAAGTTAGTATACATACCTAATTTAGATTAAAGTGGCATTAAACTTAGGTGATGTCTGTGTGTCATATAGAATCTTAGGTTCATAAAGCATAATTGATCTCTGTCACATCAAGTGTAGCCATTCTCTGTGTATGTTTATTGTAGATCTCTGTCACATCAACTGTAGCCATTCTCTGTGTATGTTTATTGTAGATCTCTTGTCACATCAAGTGTAGCCATTCTCTGTGTATGTTTATTGTAGATCTCTGTCACATCAACTGTAGCCATTCTCTGTGTATGTTTATTGTAGATCTCTTGTCACATCAACTGTAGCCATTCTCTGTGTATGTTTATTGTAGATCTCTTGTCACATCAACTGTAGCCATTCTCTGTGTATGTTTATTGTAGATCTCTTGTCACATCAAGTGTAGCCATTCTCTGTGTATGTTTACTGTAGTTTTTTGTCATATCAGGTGTATCTATTCTATGTGTATGTTTACTGTAGTTTTTTGTCATATCAGGTGTATCTATTCTATGTGTATGTTTAAT